GTGGAAGAAGATATTCGTTGAAGCAGGATTTGTGGACTATAAGATCACTCCAGTGGGACATCGATCCATCATTGAAGTCTACCCATGAATGAATGCAAACATGGTTTGGGGTGGTTCATCTCCTATTGAATCCTACCGCATGGTTTTCTACCAAAATAAGCTCACTTTGGAGCACTCCGTTATGGTTTTCTACCAAAATAAGCTCACTTTTGAGCACTCCGTTGTATTATTTGGGTTCTTCCAAACACCCAAACTGTTGTGACTTTTATTTTGAGCAACACGTACAAGATTTTATAGCCCAAACACCTGCAAGTAACACTTCTCATCCTTTGTTCCATAAGGATTCGCAATTTTTTTTAATGCTTTCATGCTTTGGTCGTTAGTTATACGTGTTTCATTCATATGGCACTAGTGGAAAGCAGGGCTTTGGTCCTGAGCAGATAAGAGCATCAGTCCTGGTTCTGTTACGAACCCGGACCAATGTGTGCATTAGTCCCGATTCGAGCGGCCAGGGCGCTGGCAGGGCTTCGGGTTGCATCAGTCCTGGTTCCAGCTACCAACCGGGACTAAAGGGTTGGCTCCTGGCGCAACCCCTTTAGTCCCGGTTCGTGCCTGGAACCGGGACAAAAGATCGGTCTTCAATCCCGGTTCTAGCCACGAACAGGGACTAATAAAGTTCCTATATATAGCCCCGCCACTTAGTCCTCTGTTTTTTGGCCGGCCGGCGTGTGCAGGGTGTGTGCTACTGTCTTTTCTCACCTCCTATGCACATGAGGTGATCGATAAAATGCTCGAGCCGTACTTAAGCTTTCTCCTCTCCAAGCTCGACCTCCAAGCTCCATTTTTCCTAAGATTTGTCTAGGTTTGGCGGTGCACCAACTACAAAAGTGTTCTAAAAGTTTAGCAACTTCATCCTTTCATCTCTCACTGCTAGTTTAGCTCATTTCAAATGCTCTAGAAGTAGAGTGGTTTGTGGGTTTTAGTGTGGGAGTGTATGTGGGAGTTATTTCAATTTAGATGCATAATTTTAGCTTAAATTAACTTCTTATTGTTTGTTATTATATAGTGTCGTGGTTTTGGTATCTGCCCCGTCGGCCCTGGTCTTGTTTATGATTCGGATGTGGTATATTATCTTGTATAACTATTTGTTTCATTCAGTTTTATGGCAATTATGCCGACCAACGTGACATAGATGTTTTTATCTAGGAGGTATGTGAACCGGAAAGTTCAACCGACCCTCTTATCAAGAGGTTAAATTTAGTTGAAAAAGAAAACAATTTCTTGAAGAAAAAATTGAAAACAATTAAGGAGGAGAAGATAGAATTGGAGTTGCGTGTTGCGAATGTCGTCGACGATCACAAGATCAAGATGGATGCAATGCGCTTGAAAATTAGAAAGATTACAAAATATGTCATTCATACTGAGGCTTGGTATCATTATGCCGTTGGATCAATTGTTATCTTAGTTGCGATTATGATCGCCCATTTATTGTTGCATTGAAATGTTTTACGTAGTTTCAATGTATGTTTTAATTAGATGCTCTAGAGAGCTAAATGTTATTCAATGTGAAGTATGGATGAACTTTATGTATTTATTTTTTTAGTAATAACATTTGATCACTATAGTATTTTGGTTTTAATGTGATGATGAACTTGTTTTAATTTGGCCACTTCTCTATTCATGATGTTATGTAATGTTTTTGATACACTTAATTATATAAAACACGTAGATGAACCAGCAATGGATGTACGGTGACAGATACACCACCGAGTACACCGAGGGCCTGTATAATTTTCTCGAAGTGGACGAGGCAAACAAGCAGAATTGTTTTATGTATTGTACATGCCCTATCTGTGGGAATACGAAGGATTACTCTGACTCAAAAATCCATCATGTCCACCTGCTTGACAAGGGTTTCATGTCACACTATAATGCTTGGACCAAACACAGAGAAAGAGGGGTTATGATGGAAGACGACAAAGAAGAAGAGCATGATGACAACTATCCACCACCTGAATACGATTATACTGCAACAAGGGAAGCTGAAGATCAAGAGGCACCGGCTGACGATGTGCCCGATGATGATCTTCGCCGGGTCATTGTTGATGCACAGAGAGAATGCAAAACTGAAAGGGAGAAGCTGAAGTTCAATCGCATGTTAGAGGATCACAAAAAAAAGGGTTGTACCACACTGGAATTGTTGCATTGGAAGGCAGAGAATGGTTTATCTGACAAAGGATTTGGGAAGCTACTGAAAATAATAAAGAAGAAGCTTCCAAAGGATAATGAATTGACTGACAGTACGTACGAAGCAAAGAAGGTTCTCTGCCCTCTAGGATTAGAGGTGTAGAAGATACAAGCATGTCCTAATGACTGCATCATGTATTGCGGTGAGGAGTACGAGAACTTGAACACATGCCCGGTATGCGGTGCATTGCGGTATAAGATCAGACGAGATGACCTTGGTGATGTTGAGGGCGAGATCACCAGGAAGAGGGTTCTTGCCAAGGTGATGTAGTATGCTCCTATAATAGCATGGTTGAAACATTTGTTTAGAAACAAAGAGCATGCCAAATTGATGCGATGGCACAAGCAAGACCATAAGAAAGACGAGAAGTTCAGAGCACCCGCTGATGGGTCGTAGTGGAGAAAAATTGAGAGAAATTGGGGGGACTTTGCTAGTGATGCAAGGAACGCATAGTTTGGTTTAAGCGCAAATGGCATTAATCCTTTTGGGGAGCAGAGCAGCAATAATAGCACCTGGCCCGTGACTCTATATATCTATAACCTTCCTCCTTGGTTGTGCATGAAGCGGAAGTTCATTATGATGCCAGTGCTCATCCAAGTCCATAAGCAATGCGGCAACGACATTGATGTGTACCTAATGCCATTAGTAGAAGAATTTTTACAGCCGTGGAATGGGAAAAGGTGTACGTGTGTGGGATGAGCACAAAAATAAGGAATTTGACCTAGATGCGTTGCTATTTGTAACCATCAATGATTGGCCTCCTCTCAGTAACCTTTCAGGACAAACAAACAAGGGAGACCACGCATGCACGCACTGTTTAGATGACACCAAAAATATATATTTGGACAAATCCAGGAAGAATGTGTACCTAGGACATCGTCGATTTCTTCCGACCAACCATCAATGTAGAAAGAAAGGCAAGCATTTGAAAGGTGAGGTAGATCACCGGAAGAAGCCCGCCTTGCGTACTGGTGGTCACATACTTGATATGGTCAATGATTTGCAAGTAATCTTTGGAAAGGGTCCTGGCGAACTATCTGTTCCGAATGACGCTGAGGGACGCACACCCATGTGGAAAAACAAATCTATATTTTGGGACCTACCGTGTCGAAAGACCTAGAGGTCCGCTCTGCAATCAACGTGATGCACGTGATGAAGAATGTTTGCGTGAACCTACTAGGCTTCTTGGGCGTGTATGGAAAGACAAAAGATATACCAGAGGCACGAGAGGACCAGCAACTGTGCACGAAAACAACGGCATGCATCCAAAGCAGTATGAAGGTCCTGCCAGCTATGCTCTTACCAAAAAAGAGAGTGAAATCTTTTTTGAATGTATGCTCAGTATGAAGGTCCCGTCTGGCTTTTCGTCCAATATTAAGGGAATAATAAACATGGCAGCGAAAAGTTTCAGAACCTAAAGTGTCATGACTGCCACGTGATTATGACGCAACTGCTTTCGGTTGCATTGAGGGGGCTTCGATCGGAAACGTTCGATTAGCCATTATGAAGCTATGTGCATTGCTCAATGCAATCTCTCAGAAAGTAATGGATCCAGAAACTACGAAGACTACAGAATGGTTTGGTGCAATGTCTTGTCAATTTCGAGTTGTTGTTTCCACCATCTTTCTTCAATATCATGATGCACGTTCTAGTTGATCTATTCGACGAGATTGCCATTCTGGGCCCTGTATTTCTACATGATATGTTCCCCTTTGAGAGCTAGTTGAGCCAAGCAACCTCGTAGTTAAATAACTTGCTTATGCTCGTATTTGTGCTAAGTCTTCTACTACCAATACTTATTAGATTTGCTAGCTTGAATTTTCTTCCAAATGTGAATCCTCAATGGACCGAGAATGATCTCGAAGATTTTGTACACTTTTGGTTGATAACTATGAACACGTAAAGATGCAGACCCACAATGTTTCTGTTGTACCACTCCGAGGGATGTGATATTTACGGAAGGGTACTTTCGTGAGTATTATATCGACGACTTGTACACTACACATGCAGTGGTGCGCTGGGTTACCGCACTGATGTTGGAATCTAGCCATGTGTACCTCCTTTGTTTATCCATCGCAGGGTGCAGAGTCCGCGTCATACGCAAATTGGATGCAGAACATCGTATGCATGCACTGTGGTTGCATTTCTACTAGTGTTGTGCCCAGCTCTTTACGTCTGCATCCCTAGTTGATGCAGAGGACGGAGAAATGAAATTCTTCCCCATTTTTAGAAGGTAGCCATATAGTGGTAGTTCCTTTGTCCGTCTGGGTCGCCTCAAGGGGCGTCTCGGGTGATCCAGATCCCAGCTAACACCGCGCTGAACCCCCTCCATCACCACACCCCACTGCCATCCGAGGAAGCCACCGAGCAAATCTTGTGGGGGCGATGGAAGAGGCGGGCCATCATCTCCCCGCATGGCAGGTGGTGGCGCTGGACTTTCATCCCCATGCGGTGGGCTACTGCAGATCGGCGGCTTTGGACGACGAGGTGCACACAATGATGACGGACATCAGGACGGCTGCCCCGGTCTTTATTGTGTTATTGAGAGATTGTGTGTAATTGCTATCTTGGCAATATTAGTATTATTTCGTTTGTCGAAAAAATAGTCCTACTTCACATACCATAACCACAAATACACTTGGAGGAATCTCCATTATCATATCCAATTAAACACTACACCTATAACAATGTGTACATAAAAATCACGCATGATTTAATAAATCGAAACGTGCAGCATGAGCAGCATTAGTTATCAGTTGATGTCACGGCCCTTGGTGTCTAGAGGGAATAGCATGCAGGCAATTGCTGCGAGGCACAACACGGCCCCAAACACAATGATGGCTTCCATTTGATGACAGCTCCTGAGCATCCCAACAGCTACAAGGGGGCAAACAACCCCACCGACTTTACCAACCGCGGATGCAATTCCGACACCAGTCGAGCGTACTGATGTTGGATAAACCTAGAAAGACAGATCCAATTAATGCAGAAATATGTTAATACCTCCGTCTCGGTGAATAAGTCATTCGCGTAGTTCTAGGTCGACGATTTAACTATCTAAATATGTATTATATGTGACAAAAGATATATATTTAGAAACTACATCCATGTAGAAATCTAGTGATATACTTTTTATGACATATAACACATATTTAATTCCTCAAATCGATGACCTAGAACTACGCAAATGACTTATTTACCTAGACGGAGGTAGTAGTATTGGAACACCAAGTGGCCAAAATGTAAATAAAGACTAGTACTAGCACGTACGTGCGGTAAAATTGAAAGTCGAAACTACATGCATGCATGCAGTATATACGAACCTCTAGGGCGTACAGACATAGAACGATGGAGCTACCCATGGCACAAGCACGGGCACCGAATAGAAGGCCAGTCGTCCATAGCTCGCTCTGACGAAGTAGAAGCGGCGCAAGGAAAGCGCAGCATGTGAAGAGCAAGCAGGACATGGTAGCTTTCCGTCCAAACCATTCAACGAGGACGGCAGAGAGGATTAGTCCAGGGATCTCTGGTAGGTACGTATATAGCTAGGTCGTTAGGTAGTAGAGCTAGCGATGAGGAGTTTAGTTGCATACATAAATAAACAGGCTAGCTAGCTAGGAGTACCTGAAAAACTAGTAACAAATGTATCCTTGTATAGGCTGGCAGCGGCAGCAGCATCATCTGGGTGATGCTCACCGTTGAAGAGCACTGCCACAGCTGACACGGTAGGAGGACAGCTTGTATTTGCATCAACCAGCTGAGAGGTGAGCAGGACAAGGCCGTAGTAAACAAAGGACTGAGCGTAGAAGACAAACCAGAGCAGGAGCGTCCACCTGCGCATGTCCGGCGACAACAGGCTGCGCAGCTTGGAGCTCATGGCAGCATCGTTGTCTGTGCCCCGAAGAAGAAAAAGGAGAGGAAGGTGATACCGTGTTTCACTCTCACACTCATAATCACTTTCACCGCGGTTGAGGCGGGTGAGAGTTCCAGGAGGAAGAGCCGCGTGGTTGGCGGCCGCGATCCTCTGCAGGACAAGCGTCGCCTCCGGCAGCTTGTTCCGTGCGCAGAGATAGCGAGGCGACTCCGGCGTGGCTCCGAAGAGAGGAAGAAGGAGTAGGAGCGGGAGGGCCGTCAGCGCCAGCAGCCACCGCCAACTCAGGGACGCCGATACGACCACCCACGCCAGCGAAGCCTCCACGACGGTGCCAAGGGTCCAGAACACGGAGAAGGCGACCATCCAGGTGCCACGGTTGTGCGCGGGGACAAACTCCAGGAACCAGGACATGAAGACGTGGGCGCCGCCCACCCCGACGCCGACGAGGAACCGAAGCGCCACCAGGCACGCGTAGTTGGGCGAGAAAGCGCTGACGAAACCCATCCCGGTGGTGAACAACGTGGAGAAGAGCAAACCGGTCCTGAGAGAGAGAGAGAGACAGAGACAGAGACAGAGATTGTAATCATATGGAGTACTGGTAGACTACTAGTAGTAGAGTAGAGGAGAAAGTGATGGCCGGCGGAAAGCTCACCTCCGGCCATATGTGTCGGAGACGAAGCCCCAGGCACAGGAGCCTAGCAGCATGCCGAAGAAGACGATGCTGGAGAGCAGGCTCTCGTGTTGGGCAGACACCTGCCACTCCTCCCGCACCATGGGCCCGACAAAGGAGAGGAGCATGAGCTCCATGGATTCCGCGACCCAGCCCACGCCCGCGTACACCAGGACCAGCGCCTGGAACCTCCCGAATCCCACTGCCGTAAGCGCTTCATCAGTCGTGTATGTTTCCACCATCTTTCCTAGCTTGTTTCTTTCTTTCTTCAGCAGACGTCAAGGCAAATGTTTCCGTCGTCCACCGTCCTCACAGCAAACGCTGAGGAAGCTCGGCGAGGGTACATGTTTAGTTGATTGAAATATGCTGCTGATTCTCTAATTTAATACCCGAGGACACGAATGTCAGGCGGAGGATCAATAGCGACCTGTGACCACACACGTTCCTCCCTGCCTCCAGTCTCGACTGCTGCCGGTCCCTGTATCCCTGGACTGCTGCCTCTCAAATTTTGCCGTCCCTCGAGAAAAAACTAATATACTCCAACATCAACTTTGTTGATCGTTTCTGTCCAGATTGACGGTCCTATCTTCTTGCCATAGATTTGATTATAGGTATAGCTAAGTACTGTTGGATTGGGAGCTGCCCTACCTGTGCAGCTTCATCCAGTGAGATGACTCGGGATAATGTAATGCCTCTTTGCAGTGGCGGAGCTTGAAAGGAAAAGTTGGGCGGCACAGACTAAAGAAAAGCACAATTTTTTTTTTCAAATTCCGAATCATCAGGGCATGTTAAAAGATCGGGCTAGCAAATATGTATATATATAATATGTACAGTACATGTGCCAAAGTACAGTTCAACCATCAAGCACTATTAAGTTATCTAATACAAAGTGTTGCGACAGTAGACATGGACTTACTCACATACAGTCCTGCTCACATACTAGAAATCAACTCCACTATTAAGTTATCTAATACAAAAGTGTTGAGACAGTAGAAATGGACTTACTCACATACAGTCCTGCTCACATACTAGAAATCAACTCTCCTATCCTTCTTGCTTATGAAATCTGCAATGACATCTTCATGGCTGTAGTTCTTCAGAATTCCACCCTCTATGTGCACTAACAAGTTATTAGCAAGATTCTCGTCTTCCATCTTATTGCACAATCTTGTCTTAATGATCTTCATACTAGAAAATGCACGTTCAGCACTCACCGTGGAAACTGAAAGGCTAATGAGTAAACGTACTAATCTGTCAATCAAATTGTAGACTGTATGTCTTCCTGTCTCCACAAGGCATCAACATAGATCAATTAAGGTGGATATATTTTTCAAGTCATCATCCTTGGAAGCATTTGAAACAAAGTGTTTAAGTTTCTCTATAGTCCATAAATGTCTTTGGGAACATCTGCTGGGTAGTACTTCTTCACCATCTATGTGGCAAGGTTGTTTCAGTAATTGACACTTTCAGCCGCAAGATTGGATGGCCGGCACCCGGCAGCACGAGGCGGCGAGGGCGAGGCAAGATCTAGGCGGGCGTCGCCGCGGCGGTTGCTCCACGAGACAGCGGGCAGCGCTCCGGTGGACGGTGCTCCTTCCCCGTCCACGGTGGTCAGCGTCGATGGCGTGGGCGCGTGGCTAGATGCTGAGACTGAGAGGAAATTGGGAAATTGGGGAAGGTGCATGACAAGCAGAAAGGATGGGGATCATGTGTCGTGCGTGGGCTGGGTAAGATGACATATAGGTAATTTTTTTGCCCAAATTCCTGGGCGGGCCATGGCCCAGGTCGGCCCCTATAGTGCTCCGCCCCTGCGTGTTGGGCCGCACGGTGAGGTACTCGTCGTCCGCCAGGAGGACCTCCAGGCGCGTGGAGAAGGGGATGTCCTAGGGTCTTATTTCGAATGTGAGGGCTCGAACTAGCGATCTCTCCGTTGAAACAACAATGCACTAACCAACAGACCACCATACCGATTGTGTCCATTTACTTATTTTCATTCCTTTATTTACGTAGACCGCGAGAGCCCACCAAACCAGCTTTCACTGCTCGCTGATTTCTGGGCGTTTTTTTCTGTTTCCTTTTTCTTTTTCTTTTCTCATTTTTATTTTTTATTTTCTTAAAAATGAGAATTTTTTAAATTCGTAAAGTTTTAAAATTGAATTAACTTTTATCAAATCGATGAAAATTTTCAAATTCCATGATTTTTTAAAACGTAAACAATTATTGAGAACATGAACAAAAAATTATATACGACGAGCGATTTTCAAATATACACTGAACAATTTTTAAGTACACAGTGAACATTTTTGTGATATACATTGAAATAATTTAAAACATATTTATACATTTTTTTATATAAGATGAACAAAGTTTATACATTGAACATTTTTGTAATATAATCTGAACAATGTTCAACTACACATTGAACAATTTTGTGATATGCGCTGAAAAGCCATTTAAATACCCATTGAACATTTCTTTATGTACACTGATTAATTTAAAATTGTGAACAAAATTTGAAAAAGTGAATAAATTTGAAAATTACAAACACATTTTGAAATCATGAAAAAAAACGAAAAATATATTTAAAAAATCCATGAACTTTTTTCAAATTTGATGAACTTTTTCTAGATTTAGATGAACTTTTTTCAAATCCGAGGAACTTTTTCCAACTTTGATGATCTTTTTCCAACTTCGATGAGCTTTTTTTCAAATTCGATGAACATTTTTCAAATTCATTGAACTTTTTTTAAATTCGAACGAACTTTTTTGATATTGATGAACTATTTTTCAAAATTGATGAACTTTTTTTAAATTTGTGAACTTTTTTAAAATCAATGATTTTTTAGTTCTTTTACCTTTTCAATTCGTGATTTATTTTGAAATCTGTGAACTTTCAAATTTCTTCCCAAAAAAATTACATTTTCCCAAATCTGTGCGCAATAAATAGCAAGACTTTAATTATTCTTAACTCATTAGCGTTTGCAATATCCATGATCGATTGGTTGCCCTAGAGGTTAGGCGGCTGGAACAGGTACTGGACGTCGCGTGGTCGAATCCTCACGTGGACAGTCTGGCGCTACAGATGCGGGTTGCCTGTCCCTGCTTTTTTTATTCGAAAAATAGATAGCGCCGGCAGACTTTGGCTATGCGCCGGTAATAGTAGGTTCGGATATCCCTCGCGCACATGGCGAAAAAGCGCCGCATGGGGCTGAACCGGCGTTAATTTCGGCGTGGTGGCGAACATGTTCCCAACCGTCGTTCCCAGGTCGCCCCAAAACCGGCACAAACACGACACAAAATATGTCCAAACTCGGCGATTTCATTCAAATTTGTACAAAAAACAAAAAAAGGAATTAAAAAAACTAAGCATAGCCCTACTACGACGTTGCCGCCGGCCTTACATGCTGAGGAGCCTGTAGAACCGGGTCTAGTCACCGCCGCCGCCGTCGTCGTCGTCATCGTCGCCACCGCCCTGCATCCCGCAGGCGCCATCGCCGTCCCTGCTGCTCCCCTGCTACACGGTGTCGGCGGTGAGAGGGAAAGAGATGTGCTGCGGCGAGCAAGTGTGAGCTTCACCGGCGGGCGGAGGGCTGCTTTTATAGCCACGGGCGGGCAGTGGGCGCGTGGCATCCATGTGTACGCGTGGCAGGAGCGGGCGGGACACGCGTCGTGACGCCTTCACTGCGCCGCCCATGAGGCCTCAATGGAAGGCTGACCAACGCAGCAGCCCAGCAGCTTTGGCATTCATTCCCCACGTGAAACCGAGGCGATGAGGACGACGATGCACCGAGTCGCTGACTCAGCGGCTCCACTGGGTTTTCGCACCAAAATTGCTCCCGCAGCGCCCACGGGCGACCCCCAGTGCGCCGGTTTCGGCCTGGGTCCGTCGATGCCGAAATCGGGCCTAACCGGCAAAAAATGGGCTTCTGGGCGCGCCACTAGGACATTTTTTAGCGCCGGCGCTAAAAACGGCCTTGTGTTGGCTTGTTGGGGACGCGGCTGGAGATGCTCTAATACCACTGGCCTTATGATTGCCGGAGAACCGATATGCGCGGGCGGTAGACTATTTTGGTTCGCTGGCGGTAGGATATCCTCTAGTAGTGACATGGGATCCTGCCGCTGCTCCTGCATGAGGTCGGCCCAGAAGGACTTGTGGATGTCCTTCTAGAGCTAGCTACTGCTGACGGTTGCCATGGGTGGGATCGGGATGCCTCCGCGGAGAGCTTCCACGTGCCCGGACACCGCATGTCCGACGGACACCGGTAGGCGTGGTTGTAGAGGACCCCGCCTCTTCCGTGGTCAACGTGCGGCGGCCGAAGCCGTTGGCCGCCACGCCATCGTTGGGACCCCTAGCCACCATGGGAACGGCTGCGGTTGTCCAGTGCGGTTGTGGGGAAGGCGAAGAGAGGAGAGGAGCGGTGGTGGGATGACGGTAGATGCCATGGGTAGGCTTAAGATGGGGCTCGGATGGAGTGCTAGGAGAACCGGGAAAGGGTAGACGAGGCTGATGCCTCGCACAGAACACGAACACAAGATTTTACCCTGCTTTGGGGCTCTCAGAGTTGAGATAATACCCGTAATGCAGCATCTATCCTATTTGGTGTATTCTGTTCCTTAGTCACAAGAGCTACAAAGGATGAACAGGAGGAACTCAGTGGTTCTTCTCCCACTCTCTAGTGCTAAGGGGGGAAATGAATTGGACAGGGGATCGACCCTCTCCCAGGAGGTCCTGGGGCGATTTATCTGTTGGGGAACGTTGCAGAAAACAAAAATTTTCCTACTCGTTTCACCAAGATCATCTAGGAGTTCATCTAGCAACGAGTGATTAGATGCATCTACATACCTTTGTAGATCGCGCACGGAAGCATTCAAAAGAACGGTGATGATGTAGTCGTACTCGACGTGATCCAAATCACCGATGACCAGCGCCGAACGGACGGCACCTCCGCGTTCAACACACGTACGGGACGGGAGACGTCTCCTCCTTCTTGATCCAGCAAGGGGAAAGGAGAGGTTGATGAAGATCCAGCAGCACGACGGCGTGGTGGTGGATGCAGGGCGTCACAGCAGCAGGGCTTCGCCGAGACTACGAGGGAGAGACGTAACGGGGGGGAGGTGGAGGCGCCAGGGGCTGGTGTAAAATCCCTCCTCTCCCCCTACTATATATAGGGGTGCCAGGGGGGCGCCGGCCCTAGTAGATGGCATCTACTAGGGGGGGCGGCGGCCAAGGGGAGGTTTCCCT